CCACATGATTGTAGGAGGTCTGGTAGCTTAATTAATGGCTAACTCATAGCACTCTGCCTGCGTTTGAGCCCTAGTCAGGGTGATTGTATTGAGTTTCTGGGCAAGGCATTTTTCTCTTGCATTGCCTTCTCCTGGAGTGTAAATGAGAAATAACAAATATGTGGCATAATCTAACTGAATGCTAGGGGTTTACTTGAAAATAATGATCTTACTAGCAATATGCATACTGTAAGAACTGTAACTGGCCTGAGAAAAACCATTTACTTGGGACAGAAGGTTTGCAAATTAAAATGAAACCAAAAAATGTGTGTGGACACAATGTGTTAGTGGCCAATCAACAATACAAAAATAACCTGTGAGTAAACAGATGCTGTTTGGCACTTCACTCCCCTCATCATAACAAAAAAAAGACACAGACACACACATACATGTCTACCGAATAATGACTGCAAACGTCTTGTACTCCAGGCTAGACTTCCAAAAAGTCATATTACTTCTTGCTTAGGAAGANTTGTATTGAGTTTCTGGGCAAGGCATTTTTCTCTTGCAGTGCCTTCTCCTGGAGTATAAATGAGAAATAACAAATATGTGGCATAATCTAACTGAATGCTAGGGGTTTAAATGAAAATAATGATCTTACTAGCAACATGCATACTGCAAGAACTGCTACTGGCCTGAGAAAAACCATTTACTTGGGACATAAGGCTTGCAAATTAAAATGAAACCAAAAAATGTGTGTGGACACAATTTGTTAGTGGCCAATCAACAATAAAAAAATAACCTGTGAGTAAACAGATGCTGTTTGGCACTTCACTCCACTCATCATAACAAAAAAAAGACACAGACACACACATACATGTCTACCGAATAATGACTGCAAACGTCTCGTACTCCAGGCTAGACTTCCAAAAAGTTATATTACTTCTTGCTTAGGGAGACATAAGAATCAAACATAATTGCACATACCCTTGAATTATCAGCCAATAAACGAAGAGTTTCCTTATCTAGCAGAAGTATCAACCTGGAAAATGAAATCAAAACAAAGGTGATTAAAAACTTGCACAGCCAAAATGATCTCAAGTTAAAAGCAATAATATTAAAATAATTAAAAGCAAGGACATTGTGATTCTTTTACATGCCAAAAGCTTTATAAATAACCATGACTCCACACCTTTGAATCTCTTGAAGAACTGCCACAGCAAAGTAAGCACAATTATGAATGGAGTCCAGAACACTTTGGTTGTCTTTTTCACCTGGTAAACAAGAGATGAATGGTTAAATTATGCAAAATGACGTTAAACTTCAAGTAAATGATAGGGATCCCTAAGAAGGGTGGTAGGAGGAGGAGCAAGGGGGGGATGGAAAAACAAACGTGACATGATGACATTTTCTAAAATTATAGATCAATAGAATCTGATCCCATTCCTCACATACAAAAAAATATTATCAGAGCATGGCTTCTTGACCTCTCCCTCCTCCCCCCCCCCCCGTCCCGAAAAAAAATTCATTATTTACTCAATCAAAGTTCTTACATCTCCTCTTTCCTTGTCATGTGCACTTTTTAAAAGTTTTACTTTTTCTCTCTTTGTAAATTTTTCTGTCTTTGTCAAATCACGGGTATATTAACAGTATTGTTTGAACGAGAGGTTCCCTTTATAATTTTCCTTTGCATATGGGGCTTCCTGTCCTAATTCTAAATGTACAGTCATATTAAAATTATTGTCAGTATAAATAAATTGTCTTATTACCATTCTCGCCATCTTGTTGTTCTGAAACAATGCCTCTCACAGTCAACAGCTGTATCACAAAATACAGTTCTGCTGTCACATTTGGAACTAAGTTTGCTGTGACATAAATAATAAAAATTAAAATAACATGTTACAAGTCTTGCCAATGATTAACTCAATCTGCAAAAATAGATAAGTGAAAAGATTGACTCACCTAATATACACCTAGAATACACTTTAGCAAGAGCATCAAGTTTGTCATGGAGAACAACTTTCTCTTTATCCACTTGTATAAAATGAACCTTTTCATTATGAGTTTGTTCTTTAAACTGTTGAGGACTTGTAGCACCTGTGGCCCCATTGTCTGAGGAATTATCCACACTGGGGTTCTTGCAAGGTGATGCTGTTGACAGCAAACTATCATTTAGCTTTGAATGGCTGTTCTGCCAGGGATCAGATGTTGTTGGCTGTTTTGGCGGACTTACGATGAAATCGCCCAAAACATGAAGTGGGGGAGACCTAATGCTAGACTGGGGACTAGGACTAGTTCTATTTCCCCAAGGGGAATCCCCTTTGTTTTTCTTTCTAGATTTCATTAGTTTTAACATGTTTCTTTCTTCTTGCAATGAGGCTGGACTTCCATGGCTCTCTAGGACTGTGTGCGGGGATGTAAATGGTGAAGAGGAGAATGTTGGTGACACTTTTCCTTTCTTTCTGTCAGTTTTGACCTGTGTTGGCGTGATTCGCCTCGAAGGAGTTACTTTTTTGCTGTTGACAAAGAAATGGCTCGAATCAGACAGATCAGATATAAAATATAATAAAAGCAAATCATTTTTTTCGCAGTTTTTTTTCGCAGAAACAAATCCCACTGTTTCCCTTAGGGCCAGTCATTAAGTGTCTATTCTGTATTTTCAGAATTCAGGGATCAACAAGGTACAGCATTTTAAGGGAGCTTACTTAAAATAAACACCAGCTCCACAGTTATTTGCCCGATCAAAGCCATCTCCTTTGCATAAGATTGTTCCTAAAAATGATGAAAATTCCAAAGTAAGAAACATGATATTTTCATGTAGCAAGGTAATTGAGCGGTCCTCTACAGTTTAAGCCCTTGCAATTGCTCTTGGGTAAGACACTTTACTTTCAGAGTGCCTCTCACCACCCAGGTGTATAAATGAGTATCACTGAATTGTCATGGCAACCTGACAGTGCTTGGGTTCATCTGGGATGACATAGCATCACATCCAGAGAATACGAGAAGATATGAATTTTATGCTCAAGTCACATGAAGACCATGAAGTTTCTTTTTTCATTTAGGTATTTTTGGCATTTTCGTGCTCCTAAGTGAACGATTTTATGTCGGCTTCAGTGAATTTTTTAAACTTCCGGATCGCTCGCCATCTTTCAACCGGCGTTTGGCAAAGTTTGGCAGCCGTGCAATGCGATGGCGCGAAATGACGTCATCGATATTATCACTAGCACTAGTGACGGAAAATACGCCACTAGGGTCCCGGATGTAAATTCGTATGAATTTTACGAGTAGTGAATTTTCCAGTAAAACACTCGTGACTATATGATAAACTACAGCTATATGCCGATCTGATGTGTATCCAAACATGAAACAGTGCGTTATCGTCTACAGTGGAAAATTTATTAGTCATTAGATCTTAGATAACTATAGCCGGTTAGCGTGATCGAATGAAAATCTTGCTGTTCTGTGCCTTAGATAACAACTCCGAAAAAATATCTCCAAACCTCGCTAATCAAAGAGCTTTCTAATGCACCAACAGCGGCGACTGCCTCAAACGTTATCTCTAGGGTAAAAAACATCAAAAGAAATCTCTAGTCAATAATATAATAATTCTTCAAGTTGAACCCATGTGGTGATTAAGACATCAATTCTCCTACAAGCATAAATGTGGAGTCAGTGATAAGTGTTATAAGAATAACGAAATTTATCACCAAGTCTTGATGTACCTCAGAATTCTCTCAACTTGCAGTGTGAAAATGTATGCAAACAGGTTATGAGAATTTGTACGTTGACACCAGGCGTTACATTACATACCACTTGGTGACTGCATTGCAAGAAGTTTTGATTGTTCCGAAAGCACCACCTGAAATTTGAAAATAATAAAATAGGCACTTTAGCAGAGGCCTTTCTGAAAATGATTGAAGATTTCAATTGTTTTTCAACTTTGGACCTGCTGAAATTCAGAGCCCATTTTTACAAGCACGTAAGTTTGAAGAGTTAGTAACGCTTTACGAAGTAAGAAATTAGTCAAGCGGTTTGTAGTGCTTGCTGACATTCACATGCTGCTTAAACCAAAAAGACACTATTTTACTGTACTATTAAACATTTAAGGGAGCACAGAGAAAAAGGAAAATGCTGTTCAAAGGATATTATTTTATTCACCTGTAGTGCTTTGACTTTCATGGCAGGGGAAACACTTTCTGGTAAACATCCTCCAGGTTTACAGCATTTTGTTTCAACTTCACAACCGTTCTCTGGAATTTGTTTTGTGTTCGCGTCGCTTTGACTATCAAGTATTCTCTGTTCTTTGGATTTTGAATGCAATATTGAGTTTGCAATCTTGTTAAACTGTAAAAACAGTCCTTCCTCCATAATATCTGTGAATGAAACAAAGTTATAACAACTCAAATCTGGTTAATGTAATGAGTACGACTGCACTGAGCAGTAGACTGGTTTCTTTAGACTTTAAACTTTCAATTTGTTTTCATACATTAGTCAGAATTTTTACTTTGAATTACGAGCTTATAAGACAATCATGATCTTGACTCAGGCTCGGAACAATGGACTGGGAAAGATTGAAAAGGAAATTTAAGCTGAGTCTTAAAATAACAATGCGACATTCTGTACCCCTGTAACTTGTAACTATGCTACGTGGCTTAAGATGTCATCAGGTGTCTCTCTACTCTATCTCTATGTCAAATAGCTGCGGTCTCAATAATCTCGTAATCTTACTTGGTAGAGATGTATTGATCCAGTCTGAGGTTTTCTCCTTTATAAGTCTCGTGGTAATATTCGCAGCTGTCATGACAACCTGTTACCAGCAAATAAGAAGAGTAAGGATTTTAAAAGCGCTGAGTGTAAAGTGATAATTACAATTCAGAAAATCAGTGACATATTGGTAGAGTGAACAAGTAGAAAATAATAAATATTGGGCGACTGAGTGCAATCATTTTCTTGTCACAGTGTAATTATAAAAGTATTTTCATTGCAACAACTCTAACTTGCTAGGTTCTGATAATAAAAACAAAAACAAAAATACAAAGATTTAAAGTTTGTTCTCTCTAGTTCTCACCTTAGAGTTCATTTCCTGTGGACAAAGGCTCTCAAATGCACTCAAGCTTTTCTTCTTAGAAGATCTGCAAAGGCAAATGTAAAGGAAACATAGTTAACGGTGTCACATGAAATAACTGCTCAGTAGCCTACATTTGGTATGGTACTACACTGGGCAGTGAGGTTTCATTCAGAGACTTAAAAGTTAGAACCACCTTGTACAGCATATTAGAAAACAGCCTTAAGAAAATACGCGCGCTGATTGGTTAAAGATCGTGTTCTATAACTCGATAGAAACACAGAACTAGCACGAGCTGTTGACGTAATGACGGCGCGAGCAAAGAGAATTTACATTTTGATAATCAAAGTTAACAAGTTGTTTTCCTTTTTTCGTTGCGATTTTTTCTAAAAGAAATGGAAAACATGTTCTCCGTGTTTCTATCGAGTTTNACATGAAAGTACTGCTCAATAGCTTTTCATTGAATGGTCACACAGTAGGGTTTCATCCACAGACTTAAAAGTTAGGACCACCTTGTAAAGCATAATAAACGGTACCACAAGAATGTAATGCTTGACAGCTTTCATTTGAATGGTCACACACAATGGGGTTTCACTCATGATAGACTTCAAAGTTACAACCATCTTGCACAGCATACACGTAATAAACAGTAACACATGAAAGTACCACTGTTTGAAATAGCTTTTATTTGAATAGGTTTCATCCACAGGCTTCAAAGCTAGAACAAACTTAATTGACATGATAGTTCATGTACTGCTCAACAGTCTTTGATGGAATGGTCACGTACGAAAAATTCCCAAAATCAAATTACGAGTATAGACGAAATAGCATATGTACACTCACTCAACTGTCTCCAAGGCGTCTTTAACACCATCATCTGTCACGGAATGAATTATCTTGAGTACATGAGGTCTGCACTTTTCCTAACAAACACGAGAAATAGAAGTGCAAATTAAGTTCAACTTATTATGCTGTGTTAAGTTGAGAGTTTAAACCCTGATTGTCTTTTGTAACAAAAACAAAAGATTTATATAAGGTGTATGCAGACAGCAGTGTTACCCTGCGTCGCAGACAGTCTAAACCGCGCTGGGGATTTTGTGACACGTCCAGCTGCAACGCACGCAGGCTAACGCAGTGTTTAATATGTAAATTATTTGATAGGCCCTGCATTAGGAATGATCTGCAGAATTACCAAGTGACAGGAATCACCAGTTTAACAGTAATCAGAAAATACAGTTCCCATCACCTTGGCCTGATCAGTATTTGCGTTCCCTGAAAACTCATTATCCAAGAATTCCTGGATCCTCTGAACTCCCCTTTCCAGCAGAGACGGGATAATATTTCCTTTCACGTGTGATATAATGTTGCTGCATAACCTAGAACACAAAAAAATAGAAAAATGGTCGGTAATTTGACTTCAAAAGGGCTGTCATGTTATAAGGATTCATTGGTGCATTTCTAGGGTAGATTGTAATACACTGTCACGAGTTTTAAAAATCACTTGCCTTTCCACTGTGAAGTCAGACAACCTCTTGAGAAAGTCGGGCTGAATCCTGAAAAAGTTCTCTTCTAACTGAAGCTGAAAGGAATTTACGACAACACGAAATCACAAATTTTACTACAAAACAACTAATTTGATCGTTCATCATGGGTCTGCAAAGCGTGCTGAGAGCAAGATAACTGAGCTAACAGGGGTGCTCTCATTTGTCGATAGGTGTGTTAAGATGAGAGCATGTAAACACAGTTGTGACGTTTTAGATTCGCGCGTATTTTTAAGAATTATTGTATAAAAGCAACAGAGCACTTTTTCTGTGTTTACATAGCCTCATCTAAACATTCGGGGAGTTTGGACAATTCTCGGAAGTTATGCAAACCTCAACGATGTCTTGGGTTTGCATAACTGTCTCAAATTCTCTCAACCCTCCTCGTGTTTAGATGAGGCTATTTAAACAAGCAAAAAGTGTTCTATTGCTTAAGTTTTTATAGGTCGCATAAGGCCACCTCTCACCTGCAATTGTCTCTGAGAGGAAGATATTCTAGCAGGTTCGCCTGCAGAAACTGGCGTGATCTTTTTCACTGGGCCTAGGAATAAGAAATCAGAATATGAACTGTCTGCATGTTGACAACACTTGCCAGAAACAAAACGAACTCCTGTTTTCATAATTCATTATACAGCCATCTGGAGTACTGTTAAATATGCATACTCTCACTGGACCAGATGTTAGAGCTTTGGCTTTGCACTCTATCCCTTGCCATTTTGACAGTTGCCCTAGCAAATTGTATCACATCATAGCCATTTGTACAACAGAGAGGAGAGAGCCTTCAACAAAATATCAAAAAGGCACTCGTCTGGCACGAATCGTGGAAACTTAGATTGGCGTCGACCCTTCACAACAGCAAACTCTCTAGCAACCATTATTTCCAAGGAAGCCAGCATTTTTTTGTTGAGACTATATGCCAAATCTACAGCTTCCACTCCAGTTAAAACCTATCCACAACAAGCTGCCAGCTTTTACGGCCAGTTTATTCTGCCCAGGTAACTGTATACTTTGAGCCTCTCTACAGCCATCTCTGGCTATTGTTAGACTACAATTCACAACAGTTTGTATTCTACTGCACAGCTGTGTAGAGATGCGATCACATTACTCTGCACACTTTTACCTGCTCGTCCAGACAATCCAGCAGCTGCCTCTACAAGAACAGATCTTACTTCACCTGCAGAACAGAATGACTAACATCTTTAGTAACAGTCACTGAGCTACCATGTCCTACACTGACTAACATTCTAGAAGTAAAGAGATTCAATTGTTATTTGTAATAACAAGGTTCGTATTCTTTTGGGCTTTTGAAATTCCATGACTTTCCATGATCTTTTCGAGTTTTCCCTGACCCATGTTAAGCAGTTGTTCTCAAAGTATTATCAAAACAATCTATTATTTAAGGTACATTCTCGCAATATGACGTATAAAATGCATGCTAGTGTTTATTTTTTTACTGGAATTAAAACTAGTTTTCTGACTTATCTGTTGTTTTTTCAACTTTTGTTTTTTGCCTGTTCGTTCTCAGAATTTTTATTGCTTTTCCATGACTTTCCATTACCCACACTTCAATTTCTGGACTTTCCAGGCCTGGAAAATGGAATTATGAAATTCCACGACTTTCCAGGTTTTCCATGACCCGTATGAACCCTGAATAACTTTCTGAATTCAAAAACCAAAACCTACCAAGATATGGACAGCAAGAATAGAGAATGCCTTGGTCTACAATACCAATGGAGTCCTAATACGTGAGTGAAAAGAAATGATTAATATTAACTTTAAACTATACATTCAACATTTGCAACCAGTAGGTAACTATTTTGTCCCCCTATGCAAGCTTCTAGTCAGATGGGTGTCCAGGCATCCTGTGGATGACCACTTTTTAAAGAAAATTGTTGCCTTATAAATTGTTCATTTGAGCAGACCCTACAGCACATTTTGGACGGCCACTTTTCAAATCCTGGCTAAAAGCCAACTCCTATGTGAGCATTAATTCACCCCACCCACCTCCCCCCATGCACCTCCTTCAACTGAAGGTGAATTCTGCGAGATCAGGTTGCTACCAATGAAATGAAAATCTGAGCCAATTTAATTGACATGCACTCTCAAAGACAAAGGCTAGAAACCAAGCATGTGAATGTCTCAGTAATGAAGTGTCCCCTTAACTGGCATTTGACAAAATTTTTCTGGCAGGGAGGGTTGTGTGGGGAGGACTTTCTGGCCACATGGTGCAAAGAGGTTAAAAGGCATTGACATGGAATGATAGCTTAGTTAAGCTCACCAAACTGACTTTTACATCTGAATATCTTGATTTAAGGTCTTCACCAATGGATTGCTTTAGGTCAGTCAGGCTTTTGAAGAAAAATGACGCAGGAATCGCAGGGATCTATGAAATACAAAAGTGCAAATAAGGAAATGTGAACCCACAGTGTACATATAACCAGAAAAAAAGTTAGAATATTACTCTAACCTCAAAGAACCATCCAAGACAAGACACCAGGAGTACCCTGCTGTGATTCAAATCTTCTTCGGGTGATTGAGTAGCTATCTCTCTGTAATCAAATGACATACAATGAGTGATTTGGTGAAAAGGCAAAACTTTAATCCTAGACTCCATCAGAGGAACTTGAAAAACCTATGGAATGCTAGCAGACTATAAGATTCTTTTAATTTATTGTCATGTTGTCTTAACAACACCGTGGCTCACTTATGGTTCAGTATTCAGAGAAGTGTTTTTGCTAAACACAATATAATAAGGATGGACAAACATTCATACAGGTTTAGGCCCTTGATCCCACATACCAACCATTGGGCCAAAGTACTTTCCAGCCCTACTTAGAGGTTCTTATTTGTCAAACATCAGTTGCCATCAGCTGGGACTAGACATAAAGTAAACTAGGACCAGAAACCTGTATATTCTCTGGAGCCAATGAAGGACCCCAGAGAAATAGTCCAAAAGAGGGGCCAGAGGGTCCATCATACTGAGGTACTCCACAGCCCATGGTATGGTCAGCACCAGTCTCCCACTGTTCCAGGCTTTCTCGAGGTAACTAAGGATGTCAAACTGAATTGGAATCTGGAAAACAAGGGATTGGCAACATCAATCAATTCATTCCTTTACACCCTTTCTTTTTCCTCTAAATGGTTGGATAGTTGGTTGTTGGTAGATGGGTTGGTCATGCAGGGTGTGGCTATCACTGGATCAGTTGGCTAATTGGTCAGCTGGTCTGCCAGAAGGTCAGATCGTCAGTCAGTTGATCTATCATTCCGTACCCATCACAATAATAGCTTAAGTACAAGTAAGAACCTGTTTCTGCAAAAATTAAAAGCGTTTCACGAGCTCCAAACAATTGTGGTTGCTTTGCTGGAGTTGGAGAAAACCATTTTGCCTTTATTTGTCATCACAGTTTTATACTCATTCAAATCAGTCAGAATGTAGCCACACAGCAGTCTCCTTGATATACAGTGGAATCCCAAATTTACAAACCTCCACGGGAAACAAAAATTGGTTTGAAAAATTGGGTAGGTTGAGAAGCCAGTGATAAAATTACACTGTTCGGCTGAGGGAAGGAGAATGACTTCTGGTTCGAGTTATCGGGAGGTTTTAAAAATCGAGGGTTTGAAAAATCTGGATTCCACTGCACATATTACAGTTCTTAGAGGTGTGCAAAAATATTATTTCACAGTTATAGGTTGACTCACTCTGTTTCTTATTTTACAAGTTTCTGTTGTAATTACTTCTGATGTGGTTTCTGCACCATAATAGGGTTGGAACAACAGAAATCCAAGGAACTTTGCCAAGATTCTGACATTCATTAAATAGCAGGAAAAGTCTTGCTTCAGTTCCTGATAAAGAGAGTTCCAAAGTCATTTAATATCATCATGAAAATAATTTTGCCCGGCCAAAAAAAGCTTTAATGATTGTATCCATGTCTACTTCAAACTGAATTTTTACTGTTCTGAACAAAACATTAATAATTATAATTTAATTAAATTAATTACCAAATCTGTCTTAGTAGAAAACGGAAACTGAGTGACTAAACTGCACATGGTGTACAATAACATGTTAATGAAACCAAACAAAGCATATACCTGACCTGATTTTGAATTGATAAATCCTTCTCACTGCCTTCTTCAATGCCAGAAAGGGGAAATTCTTTATTGTCAATCTTACAAGCAAAAAGTAAATTGACACAGATTAAATCAAGCTTTGTGGCTCTGACAGTAATGAATCATTGCTCTCCTCATGTGATGCAAATATAACTCTACCCCTACCCCTAAGTCATAATTAAATTGATGGTTTGCAAACAATTCTGACACATGAATTCAAAATGGACAAAAAATGCAGAAGTCTTTTCAGTGTGGAACAAGCAACAGCATTGTGAATAGTAATTTACTAACACATCAATAATGTGATTACTGCTGCAAACAAGGACTTATAGTTCTACAAAGCCAAACCTACTGAACCTCTTCTATCATGCTGGAGTCTGGGCAAGATTTAAATTTATCACCATGATATTCTTAATGCAATGAAATATTACAATAACAAGACATAAAATACCTCTGTTATCTTTACAATCAGCAAATCTATCAAATGTCGATTAAATGAATGGCTGCAGTAAAAGAATAATAATTGCTAATTAAATCTCTCTGCTTTGAATTATAATATTTGAGTTACAATATTTGAAATAGGAGCAGGGGGAGTTTGCTTCATTGACACCAGAACTTCAGAGGGCCTGTTAAACTTGTTTGACAATAAAAGGCTAAATTTTAGCAGGAATCTAAGAAGTACATGTAAGAGCACATCGTGTCAGAGATGTTTGTAAATGCTTGCTTTGATGCACTAGATGCTGTACATACCTTGCAGCAGATTGTATAAATCCCTTGAAGAATTCTTGCAC